AGTGACAATGTTACACACTCTTTGCTTACACTGGCTAGTCTCTGCTGTCTCAGCCGACGATATGTTTGTCCTGTTTTAGCCACCGTAGCTTCTTCGAAAGGGAGGGTTGAGCAGTGGGCTGAGCCCTTAATACAACTTGCAACCGAACCGCTAGATGACGCTAAAAATCACAGACTGCACCTTTAAGCAAATCTCAAGATGAATAATCATTTTTAAGCTGCCTTATAATGCTGTGATGCCTAAATTATCTTGTAGCATTCTGTAAAATGACTGATTTTATTTAGACAACGTACTATTTAATTTGAAGATTTGTCATATCATCAACACAATTAGCACTCGGTATTAGCCAGAATTTTAATGTCACCATGAAATCAATATTGATATATGAAGAGTTCAGATGCAAAAGCCTCTAAATGCCATTTGAAATTTTCTTCTTTAATGATGATTTTTATCAAACTTGTATATTTAAGTTCAGTAATTTCACTTAAATAACAATTAATAGGTAATTATCATTGTCATATAAGTGAAATTACTGAACTTAAATATACAAGTTTGATAAAAATGATCATTCTAGAAGAAAATTTCAAATGGCATTTAGAGGCTTTTGCATCTGAACTCTTCATATATTCTTATTTTCTTTATGGAATATTGCTGTATTTAGTGTCACATACTTGACTTCATAATCAAGATTCAAGAAGCTTGACGTAGATAAAAAATGAAATTACATATAATAAACACCAGGAAAATTATTATTATTATTATTATTACATTATTATAAACACACTATTATTATTATTATTATTATTATTATTATTTCAATAACTTTACCTTCCTCTTGCTGTGACATCTTATTTCTTCTTTAATGACTTGTATACTGGCGTGAGGACAGGACAACCTGTCACTTGCATGAGATCACAGTCATAGCAAACCACAATGATCCAATCACTTCCCAGTGGACAAAATAAAGTCCTGCCCTACATTTTTGTCTTGTTTGAGAAGCCGCTTCATTCAGATACTGTATGTCAGAATATAGGGAAGAAAAAAAAACAATCGCAACTTCTGTTTCATGCCAACTGCTTCCATAAACATTTTCCAGCCGCTTTACTCAGCCATTAATTGCAATGTTAATTTTGACAGCAAAAAAGCCTTAAGTAGTCTCATTTGCATAGAAATGGCAAGAACTGGTTGTAAAAAAAAAAAAAAAAAAAAAAGATTAAATGTATAGTGAAATGCTGAAGGCTGTATGTTAAACCATTTAGTGCACCTGAATATCTTCAAAGATTTGCACAGGTGTCACATTTTCGATTAGCACTATACTACAGTATAAATCAAATAATGACAACCTGGAGGAAGAATACTGAAGAGAAGGTCCAGTATGTTCTGAGCTGTCATGATGGCGACATTCTCTCATTGTGTTCTCCATGCACTGTCAGTGCCTGATTATTTTGGCCTTTATCTGAGGTTCTTTGAGTCATCGGTGTGACATATGCTGTCAGGCTGATGTGTACCCATCAGTCCCTGCACTCAAACTGCACCTGAACTCTTTAGCTCTGCATGAAGGCTCTTCAAGAATCAAGATTAGATCACAGTTGAATTCCACAAGTGCAACCTCAACACTAACCACAGATTGCCATGACTCCAACACTGTGAATAATTGATTTTGCACATCAGAATCACCCTCACTCACAGATGGTGAAAGAGCAATGTTGAATTCTCATGACACTTTGCTTTTCAATTATACATGAGGTTTTGGTTTGACGGGTTGTTTCCTCGGATATCTTATTCATTCTTGAAAAATCCTGAGCCTGTAGTTTTCGTCTGTGATGAATGGTAAATGCCAATGCTTCCTTTGAGTCACAGGATTTGTTAGAAAAGCACATGTGTAAAACTGGTCCTGCATGGGGAGAGTGTAGCTCGAATCAGCTCCAAAACACCTGCCTCGAAATCTTTAACCCTGAAAACCCTGATTTTTTGGGTCATGCGTGTTTCATTGGGGTTGTAGTTAAACTTGATAGTGCTGGATAGGAGCCCTCCAGGAACTGAGTTTGGCTATGTTCACACTGTCAGTCCAAATCTGATTATTTGTGTATCCACAAATGGTTGATGTCTACTCTGTGTATCGCAATGGTTCAGATCTGATTTGTATGTCCATGCAGGTCTTTCGTTTTCTGGAATATCTGCATTGGTTTCTATGGCAATGACGTTGCGTTTGTAGAAATACTCCAAAAACAAGTTCCGCAACATGGAGGGGTTTGCAATGGAAAGTTGTCGGCTTTGAAGACAAAGTTGTCGGCCTCTAACCCTTCTCAGTAAAACAGTGGGATAGAACAATGATCCCATGTGCACTGTTGGTCACGTTCTGAATGTACTGAATGTTTGACCTTGAGAAAGCAAGTCATTTTACAGCTTCATTGCATTCTGTATGCATTGCATATTGTACCAACGACTGGAAAACATTCACAACTTTTCTCAGTGGAGAGTGAAAAATAGCCTCTGTAACGGAACTGCAATTAGATCAGTGAAAAAAGCCAAGAGAAATATAATGGGGTGGTGATGACACATGCCTTTGGTGTGAGAGAGCCGGGTTCGAATCCACTCTGAGAGACCAATGTGTCCCTGAGCAAGACACTTAACCCCTAGTTGCTCCAAAGGCGTGCGACCTCTGACATACATAGCAATTGTAAGTCGCTTTGGATAAAAGCGCCAGCTAAATGAATAAATATAAAATAGGTGTGCCAAATTACAGAAATCAAAAAGACAGAAGATTCATAGAAGATGCATTGTAGAAGATGTTCAGATATCCATAAAAAACAAGAAACTCAAAACATTAATACATTTATAAATATGTTTGAATGAGCCATGGGCAAAGATGTGCAAAATAGTGCCGTTTTAAAAACTTTACAAAAAGTTGCTTTATTTATTTATTTATTAGGATTGTTTTTTCTTTTTTTTAGGATTGTCAAAGCTACTATGTTTACTTGAGATAAAAACTAAATGTTTAACCAGCCCCGACAAAACGTTGCACAACATTTTTTAAACAGAAACAATGATGTGTTGAACACACTGTTCTGATGACGCAAGAGTTGGGCAAGAGCGCAAGTGTCCTTGTATTTGGGTTCAAATAAAAATATGTCTGGGCAAAAAAATGCAAGTCTACCTCTGTCGAAATCCTTAGACATGTTTGCGAAAGATGTTTTGTTTACAGCATGCATCTCCCTCAGAGACTGTAAACAAAGCTCGGACGCACTGACAACACGTCATCACTGGACACGGCTTGACAACAGAACCGTAAGAGAAAACAATGCTGAATAAAGTTGTAGTTTTTGTTATTTTTGGACCAAAATGTATTTTCGATGCTTCAAAAAATTCTAACTAACTCACTGACGTCACATGGACCACTTTGATGATGTCTTTATTTCCCGTTCTGGACAAGGACAGTATACCGTGTGTACATTTTCAATGGAGGGACTGAAAGCTCTCGGACTAAATCTAAAATATCCTAAACTGTTCTGAAGATGAACAGAGGTCTTATGTGGTAGGAACGACATGAGGGTGAGACACTAATGACATAATTTAACTAACCCTTTAAGGTAAATGATTATGACATTGTTGCTTTTGAAGACGAGGAAGCTCACAATGATTTGGAACAGCCTTCTGGGAAAAACAAAAATATCAAACTTAAACCAGTTTTTGCTGGTCAGCCAACTGGTCTCACAGACTGACCAGGGGTGTGTTTCCCGATGACATTAACCATAGTTCCAACGAACATTTGCTAACAGCATTGCAAAGTTGTGTGTTTGGAGCAACTGCTCTCTGACCTGTGGTTAGTAGGATAGTTTCTTATTTGCATGACATGTGGACTTAAAGGGTTAGTTCACCCAAAAATGAAAATTAAGTCATTAATTACTCACCCCCATGCTGTACCAACCCCGTAAGACCTTCGTTCGTCTTCGGAACACAAATGAAGATATTTTTGATTAAATTTGAGAGCTGTATAACTACCACATTGGCTCCTAAGGGACTGCCTCTTGACGGCCCAGAAAGTCAATGAAGAAAATGTTTAAATATTCCAAGTGACTACCGTGGCTCAACTATATGTTTATCAAGCGACGCGAATACTTTTTGTGCGAAAAAACAAACAAAAATGTGGGAGAATTGCGATCTGAAGTAGTGTAAGCAGATCGCAATTCTCGCACATGCGTCGTGGAAATCTAAGGAAGTCTCGTTTCTGGCCTACAAGGAAGAAAAGAAATAGTCGAATAAACTCGTTATTTTTGTTTGTTTTTTTCGCACAAAAAGTATTCGCGTCGCTTGATAAACATATAGTTGAGCCACGGTAGTCACTTGGGATATTTAAACATTTTCTTCATTGACTTTCTGGGCCGTCAAGAGGCAGTCCCTTAGGCAGCCAATGTGGTAGTTATACAGCTCTCAAATTTAATCAAAAATATCTTCATTTGTGTTCCGAAGACGAACGAAGGTCTTACGGGGTTGGTACAGCATGGGGGTGAGTAATTAATGACTTAATTTTCATTTTTGGGTGAACTAACCCTTTAAGTCCTTATCTTGAGCAAAATAAGCAAGCTGACATTCAGTAGAATCTATATATTTTATTTCAAATATATACAAATGTAATTTTAAAGCAATTAAAAGCGCCATTTTTGAACAGTTTGTGCATACATGCTCTAGTCCGTAAGCATGACCCTATGATTGAATCTGCAAAATAACTCAGAAAAATGGTTTTGATTGTTGATTTCTTTAATTATGCATCATACTATGGTTAACCAGTGAGTTACATCGTTATACGGGTTACTTGGAACCAGTGGCCAAAACCCTTTAGAAACCAACAAATCAGACTTGCCTGACTAGATAGGAGCAATATGACTTTTCACGCAGTGAGAGCTATAATGCCTTTATTTTCTACTACACCACTTTACACATGTGTATCCATGTAATGAGTGTTGCAAGTTTCACAGCACTTTGTGTGTCTCTTTGTTCAGATGAAGTCTGCCGGAGCTGGTGATGAAGGACTCTTCACCGAGAGCTACTGTAACATCTGCAATGCTCAGCTGATCTCTGAGTCCCAGCGTGTGGCACACTATGAGGTAATCACTCTCACACACACGCACACACACACACATTATGTTAAAAGCAGGCCTCATCAATTGTTTATCAGGGATGTAATAATCATTTGTAACCTAAATGCTCCTCTCATGTATCTTTCATTCGCTGCTTTTAAAGTTGTAATGCAGTGCACCTTTCCTCAGACCCACAACCCCTTCATAAGTAACCCAGTGATTGACCATTAAATAATCATCCTCCTGCATTATTTACATCTCTCACGCACGGTTCCTGAGACCACTGAATATGCAATCACTAGATTAACGAGTGTGCTAATGAGGACAAACTCCTTCGCACAAAATCAGTGTAGCTGAGGGAACGTGTCTGTTCAACAGGATCGTTTGGCCAGATTGGTTTACGAAGAGAAGCCAGCAAGATATATTCAGTTTTACGGTAACACTTCAGCTCTTCTGTCACTGATCCCAGCGATCACTCGTCTTGAGTAAACCGCTCTCAGATGTCACAGCGTGAGGCTGATGTCCTCATTTACGCATGAACGAAGGCTGGATTTAATTTACTTTAATATACACAAGTTTTGGCCTTAAAAAGCTTTGGCCAGTCAGTGGAACTGTCATTTCAACCAGCTGTTACCAAGTAGACTGGAAATGATTCATCATTTCTGTCCAAGTCAGAATTTTGTTCAAAATAATCAAGAAATGTTTTCCACTATGCTACGTCAAGGAAAAAAAAAAGTTTAAATGAGCCAGTTAAAGCGGCGCAAAACAGTGAAATTTCAAAGTTTCATTTTATACTAATGTATCCAAGGAAATTTGACAGAAAGAAATTTTTAACTTTCTACATAATATATATAATTTGCTGTAGTTTTGATTTCTAGAATTTTATTATTATTATTATTGATTAGCATTTTTTTTTTTTTTTAGCATTCCATGTTGGGAGATGTTTTAGACCAAATTGTCCATTTTATTGAATCTTCTTGTTTTTAATGAAATTAAGGTCCGTAGTGATCTCAACAGATAGGAAACCAAATAAATTTGATTCACTTAAAATAACAGATTCATAAGACTCATTAATTTAGGAATCAATTCAATAGCGTGAAACTAGTCTCTTGCCACATCTGTTGGGAAAACTTAATGGGCAAATTAAGATGCATAAAAAAGAAAATATTCACAACATTGGTAGGTTCATTTAAAAAAAAAAAAAAAAATTATCTCATATATTCCCAAGCCCTAAACCTCAGATACACAACAATTTCCCCAGTGTAAGACTGCTGTGTCTTCAAAGAAACTCCAAGTGAATGAACTTGTCACTATGACCAGTTCATTTCAGGCCCTGAATCAGCCAGCCATTTCCCTGGAGAGGCTAGGAGAAGGAAATGGAGAGAATGAGAGAAAAAACAGAGAGACAAATAGAGATGTTCTGTGTGATAACATGAGTTCACCGCACCACAGCACACATTAGAGCCGTTCCCTTGGGACTAAGCAACACCAAACTCTCTCCACCTGTCAGAGCAACTTTAATGGACTTTTGGATATCTCTGGGCCTTTTCCTCTTTCAATTTCCCATGCTGTGTGTGAGTGTGTGCGCACATGGATGATAATCTGATGGACAGCTAACGGACATAGACTAAAAAAGCTTGGGTTTAATATCTGGAGAGAAACCTCGTTACCTGTCAGCTGCCCTTTACTATCTGGACTGGACACTCGATGGTTTGTCCTGTCCATTTCTCCATTCTGCTTTCCTTTTCCTCGTTGTTTATTTCATTTTTCACCTGCTATTTCTACTTGCCTGGAAACAAAAACATGCATACCGTATCACACATGGCACTTATGGGTGTATCGGTTGCACTTTATTATAAAGTGCATGCACTTATGTGTACTTGCAGTGTACTTACCTAAGAAAGTAAGAAACACTCATGTTAATTATCTGAACGTGCTCCTCCGAACTTTGTTAATAAAACATCATAATTTATTTAGTCATTTAATTTGCCCTTATCACAATACACAAAATCAGATTTTTTTCACAAGCCATTTTAATATATGAAAAGATAGAATATATTCAGATATTTATTACAACTTTACATTACTAACAACAAAAGAGACACTCAAAACAGTAATACATAAAATACGTTTGTTTGAATGGTCCATTGTCAAAGATGTGAAAAATAGCATATCTTTGTTTTATACTGACTCCATTGAAAATTTGATAGGAAAAAACAGAGTTCTTGCAAATAGAGTGAGACACGCGTATGAAAACGTTTATTTAGGTAGGCTAAATGGATGATTTTTCCATATCGTTAGTTAATGTGTGCGTTGAATATGGCAATTTTGAGAAATGGGCCCAGGCACAAGACGAAATAGAAGACTTGGAGAAGAAGACGTTGGATGACAAAAAGCGGCACAAAGAATTAACACCGACAGAGCTATAAGATCGAAGACGACAAAGATGAGGTCAATACGAAAAAGAAAACTAAATGGACAGTTAAAACTTTCAGTGACTTGTTGCGCCAAAGACAATTGTGATTTCGAGAACTAACGTTACTCTGCTTCTCTTTTAAACGAGACATTGCTCTTCCTTCACACAATCCATCTCACATGCTTCTCGCAATATCACTGAACTCCAAAGCACTTTCATTTTGTTCATCTCCTTTATCCTCAGAAACCGGTGCCACACTCTGTAATTCTTTGACACTAACCTCTGAAAGTGTTTTGGTGCAAAAGTGTCACGTCTACAGTAGCTCGATTCAGTATGCGAATCGCCTGAATGAAACAATGTTTCAACGGAGGTGAACTGCTATTGATTGAGATCTTTTTAACCGGCGATACCAATTTTCCATATCGGGATAAAGCTTGTGTCAAAATTTCATCACTTACTAATGGTGGAACATTTGACAAAGTCACTCTCCAAGTTGGCATTGAAAGAGGAAGAACAGAGACAAAATAACCACCAATGACTATTCTGTGTTCGACTACTTCATTGACTTTATCTACGCAATTAAGAAACACCACAATGGCACTATTCATGCTGGAGGCAGATGGCACGCTCTCATGCCCCACAACCTCACCAATGGCAAGACAACATTCCCCCACACTCACCACGACGGCGACTTTAAAGGCATTATGCTGCTGAAAAGTGAACTCAAAACCTGCACGCGTGGGGCCGACATGTGGATAGCACACGGCCCAACAAAGAACCAAAATACTAGATAAAAAAGACCTGAATAGCACCAAGGGGAAAAATACAACAGCTTCACTCACAAGCCCTCCAGTTACACTCACACACTCCATCAACTCGCACCCATACACACCGGAAGAGAGAGAGAGTCTGAGAGTCTCGCTGAATCACCCGCTTTGCGTCGGGTGGTTCTTTGCCTCTACATCGTGCATTAAGATCCTTTAATGCATGGCTAGCCATGGATTATATCATATTCATAAACAGCATACAGGATCATAAAAAATAATTACCCTTATAAAACGGTATAGTAAATTCTGAACCACTTTCAGACACTTTTTTTTGTATTGCCAAATGTGCATTCTGTATGGGCACTGTAAAATTTCAAATCATTAAAAAAAAAACAAAAAAAAAAAAAAAACAAATCTATATCTTTAATAGCTGTGTCATATACCCTGTCTCCTCTTAAACCCTCAAATCAAAACTCTCCCAGACCAAATGCTCCCTCAGTGTCTGGTATTTAGCTCATTCTGTATTTATCAACGGCTCCTTTCATTCCCTCTTAGCACTGAACTCTTCACTGGACCAGTGTAATCCAGCCAGAGACAACAGAGACTCTCAGACCGTCTCTCTCTCTCTCTCTCTCTCTCTCTCTCTCTCTCTCTCTCTCTCTCTCTCTCTCTCTCTCTCTCTCTCTCTCTCTCTCACACACACACACACACTCCTTCCACACACTCTCATTTGGGCTGGCTAATACTGTATACTGTGGAATGGTAAAAAATGTGTCCACCAGTAGAAATCTGGCTACAGTATGCGATTTATACAGTCACAGATATATTTGCTGAGATGTAATATTTTAGCTGGTGCTTTAAAGGGGGATAGTTTGCGAGACTAACATTCTTAGAGGGATTTAGTGTTCTGACAGTGTCAAGCACAGTCAAACCTTCCTGAGAAGTTTTATCTTTAAATTCACTACCTACTGTTAAGCATCTATTCTTCTGTGACAAATTCAATGACAAATTTCAAACAATGATTTAGTTTGTTTCTTTTTAATTAACATCTAATCGCATTGTTTTGTGATTATGTGTGTCCTCACAAGACTAATAACATTCTGTAGATGCCAATGTTTTTAATACCCAACGGTTCATTGCAGTTCATTCGATGAAACATTTTCTAAATTAATAAATAATGTTTTAGATTAAACTACGCATTCCTTACAGATTGAAGGACCGTTTTTATGGACATTTCTTACAAAGCTTCAGAAAACCATTTTATACTTTTTACTAATAATTCCGATAACTCGCTGACTACTTAATTGTGATATGTACAGTAGTTTCAAATGTTAGTAAAAGGGTTAACCAACCATATAGATAAACTAGAAATAATGTAAAACCAGCTATCCCTTTTTGTCAGTATTGTTATTGTTGCTAAAATTAAAACTGCTAAAAATAATAAATCGTTAATTTAAATACAGCTGAAATTATATATATATATATATATATATATATATATATATGAAGAGTTCAGATGCAAAAGCCTCTAAATGCCATTTGAAATTTTCTTCTTTAATGATGATTTTTATCAAACTTGTATATTTAAGTTCAGTAATTTCACTTAAATGGCAATGATAATTACCTATTAATTGTTATTTAAGTGAAATTACTGAACTTAAATATGCAAGTTTGACAAAAATCATCATTAAAGAAGAAAATTTCAAATGGCATTTAGAGGCTTTTGCATCTGAACTCTTCATATACAAAGTATATTAGTTGAAAAGCTTAAAAAAACATTACCACTAATAATAATAATAATAATATAAACGGTTAACATTACAAATGCACATCAAAATGTCCAAAATTTAAACTTAAATTTAAATAAACACACACACACACACACACACATAAAAAATACTCTTCATTGCTCTTGCTCAGTGTTTCATCTAAGCCATTTCCTGATTCAGCAGAACTCACCTGCAATCTGTTCTTAATCAAAACTTGTATTAATCACTTGCTTAATACCCACAGATGCTCACACATACCAGTTTTTAATATCAGACAAATTGCATATTGCATTACAAATTCAAGCTATTCATCTTAAACCCCTGGTGCTATCAGATCAATTTTTAAACCCCTGGTGATATTAACAATTTGTCCAGGCTTGATTGCCTATCGGTAAATGCAACTACGGCCCAAAATCTAGTGAGCTGCCTTGCTGCATACTGCCTATATGTACAGCTACCTGAACATAACCTTGTAAGTGTTTCTACACACAGCAACACCAAACGGACACATGAAGCAAAGATGAGATTTGACTCAATATTGTCAGATCTATTACTAAACTAAATGTGCAATAATCTAATAAGAGTAATAAACACATCAGACCACAACAATATATTGTCATTTTAATTAGAGAGGGGTCACAGTGCTTGACCAATTAGTCAGCTAGTGAGGTTGAGTAGTTCACTCTTTTAGAAACAATTTTTCTTTCAATTTGTTCCACTTTAAAACACTGCTGCTTTAATCACATCCATTCAGCAACTCTATTACACCTATTAATTGAATGCGTTGGGTGAAAACGCATATGCTTACTTTTAAGTGATTATTTATATATATATATATATATATATATATATTCGGAACAGCCTTTATATCAGGAGTGTGCCTGTTATGCCTTAAAATGTGATATAGGTAGCTCAGTTTTTGAAAAAAAAAAACATCACTTTTGTTTACCTGTTGTTTACCTGTTCAAATTGTAAAAAACTAAACTAAAAGTGCTAACAGGTTAGCACTTCTGCTTGAGGAGCACATCTCTGTAATTTTGTAAATATGTTTCTTTAATCGTGATCTTAAAGAGACAAAACTGAAATATCATACTGCAACCCTTTCATTTTTTATATTACATTTTAAAAGCAGTATTTTGAAATATGTCCTCCGTCACTGAACTCAGGAAACCACTCTTCATACCTGTATGAAGTGGAACCAACTTCAAATTGAAGAGTAGCTGTAAGTTCTGTATAAAAACGAGCATATGGAATACATGTGAGTCTGTCATCTTGATACACTTTACAGTAAATTTCATATTCTCTGTCAGATGTCATATTATTATCCAGCCCCTTCTCATCCCAAGGCGTCATCTAACTGACGCTTTTGACCATGCATCAACATCTGACGCACATGGCACACTTTAGTGTCAACATGAGACACACCTCTTAGAGGTCTAACCCTAAACCTACCCGCATCATCTAACTGACCCTAAAGGTTGCCATGTGCGTCAGATTTAGACGCATGGTCAAAAGTGTCAGTTAGATGACGCCCTAGGATGAGAATGTGTTGTATTATCTATCACTCAGGGCAGGTGTAAAACTGTTGTGTGAGACAGATAGACAGATAGTCAGTCATAGTAATGTCCTGGCTGTGAACATTTAAGTGTGAGTCTTATAGCTGGTAGCCAAATTCAGGTGTATTTTTTTTAAAAAAAGGTCATTGGGGCTTTGCTCTCTTGGCCCACCTTGTCTATTTGATATGTGCGTGGCTGTAAATGTTTTGAAAGCTAAGCAGTCACATGCATTTTTCAAAGTTGAAGCGACTTTGGTATCCTCAGATCCCTATGAAATAATAAAAATGTTTGGGTGGAGTAACTGAAGACAGCAGTTAATATTCAATGCAGATAAGAAATAATAAAACATACAGGCACATAAAAAAAAAATTAAAACTAAGGACACAAACCTACTGTATAAAACCAAAAAGCTGATAAAAAAAAAACCTAAGGCTGAAAAGTTTGACTGGAGTTATATGTGAAACCAGAATGTTTTAAAAACCTATACAATGTATCTTTACAAGCATTGCAAACTCTTGCAAAATCCGTGAGGAGGGGATACTGCAACAAGCAACCTCAAAAGTTCTGCACAAAAAAAGACATCAATATTATTAAGCAGTTAATGCTAGTTTTTCTAAAAGCAAAATTATGTTATTAATTAATAATCTATTGATTTCCTAATATAGTTCAAATTGGATGCTCAAGTCATGTATTGCAGAAATGGATATTTCCTGGGTGTCTGCCATTTCTTTACATTCATGTCAATTAAAGTGAGAACACTTTGATCTATGTTATGCTAATTTATCTCACTCGATCTGTCTCTTTCTCTCTTTCACACAACAGAGCAAGAAACATGCCAATAAAGTGCGTCTGTTCTACATGCTCCACCCAGAAGATGGAGGACCACCATCCAAAAGACTGAGACCAGACAATCCGGTATTTTCTTAAGCTTTTAAAATAAAAATCAGTATTACAATGTCAAAATTACATACTGCACCTTTAAACCTATCTGTCAGATATTTAAAGGAGTAGTTCACTTTTAAAAAAACACACACAAAAAAAAAAAAAAAAAAAAAACTTTTGCTGATAATTTACTCACCCCCATGTCATCCAAGATGTCCATGTTCTTCAGTCGAAAAGAAATTAAGGTTTTTGATGAAAACATTCCAGGATTTTTCTCCATATAATGCCATCAAAAAAACAAAAAAACAAAAAAAAAAAAAACACGAGCATAACAAAGCAATGAGTTATTAGGTGATGGGTTCTAGACGGTTCAAGGTACAAAAGACAGCTTCAGTGCAATATGCAAACTGTTTAAAGGGCTTTAAACGATTTCAGACGATAAATAAGGGTCTTATGTAGCGAATCGCTCATTTAAAAATAAATAACAAATTTTAAGTTAAGTTTATAAGCTCAAATGCTCGCCTTGCTCTGTTCTGTGATGCGCATTCGTGACTCTCCTGTTCGAACTCTTTTATCAAAATGAACAAATCTTTTTTTGAGTCAATTTGTTAATTTTGTTCGTTGAATGAACAAAATGAAGAGTCATGAACACGCATTACAGAACAGAGCAAGGCGAGCATTTGAGCTTATAAACTTAAAACTTAAAAATTGTTATATATTTTTTAAATGAGCGATCATTTCGCTACATAAGACCCTCACTTTTGCACCTTGAACCGTCTGGTACCCATGCAGTAAAGTGCATTATATGGAGAAAAATTCTGGAATGTTTTCATCAAAAACCTTAATTTCTTTTCGACTGAAGAAAGAAAGACATGGACATCTTGGATGACATGGGGGTGAGTAAATTATCAGCTGTTTTTTTTTTTTTTTTTTTTTTTTTAAGTGAACTATTCCTTTAAGTTCACATTTTCCTTTTCCCTTGTGATATTTTATAAGATAGCAAAATCATTTATAGAAGAAAATAGAGATTTGCTGTATATTGACTGGCTACCAATTGTTTCTTTTGAGAAAAATGACAAAGTAATCTCACCCTTCTCTAAAAAAAAAAAAAATGTTTCAGTTTATGCTCAGATTTACCAGATACAAAAGTCTGCAATCAAAAGTAGGAGATCTCAAATGAACTAAACTATTTCTCATCAAATTGCCTTTTTATTTATTTATCATTTTTTTATTTCTGCATTTATTTTATAGTCTTACACATAGTTTAATGTCTATACATACTGTAAATGTCAACTATTTAAAATAATCTATTTTACTTGTTTATAAATCTCAGGGGCCATTTTTGTTTGCAGTAAAATGCTAAATGATGGCAGTGGAGATTACAGACACTGGGCTTTGATTTTTCTGTTGTTTTCAGTCCTGAGAGACAGAATGTTAATGTTCATTTTCCCCGAAAGGTAAATGACTGGCACAGCAGTCATCTAATGTCTTCATGGACTTAAGCCATGATTAACACTGAAGCAGATAGACATCTTGAAGAGGCTATTAAACACTAAATTAAAAGTTTTAGGGCTTTTTATTTTTTCCTTAACATACAAAAATGATCCCTGTGCGGATTGATAATTTGACACACTGGCTGTTACAGATTGTTTTGACTTGTTTGGAAGTGTTTGAGTTCTTAGAATTGCTTTCCAGAAGGGTCTCTGAGGGGTGGAGATGTTAGTTTATAATTTTATCAAACATTCAGCATTGAGAGAAACCTAACCTCTCAGCTACAATTTTTTGTTTGAATCGTAGTCTGTGCTCGTAAATAAGACCCATTAGTGTGGTTGTTTAGGAATTATTCTTCTTGGACCAGACAGAGCTTTGCCATGACAATTTTAAGCCCTCTGTTTGAGAGGAGCAAGGATGACAAGCTACAAATCAAAACCGAACACAGCTGAAAAAAGTACAAACACTAAAGAAACTGACTTACCAAGATTACAATAAAAAGTCAGAGATCTCAATATCTCAAACATTTTAATCAAATTCCTTTGAGTTCAAATGATCTGAGATATATTATGCTATCCATTTGTATAGCTCTATTATTGTATTTCAATAATTGTCTCATTTAATGCTATTTTTAGATCATTTAGAGATTTAAAATATTTCAGTTGATATTTGCATGAAACTACTGAGAACTCCATTAAGTCTCGTGAACCAAGAAAGTCAAGAAAGTTTTTTTCACACTGCGCACAATTCCAAACCCACCCACCCCAGGGTCAGAAGAGGAGGATGTAGGATATCGACCACGGGAGGGGATATATCGCTCAAGTGCAGCTGACTTAACCTTCACCTCTCTGAACTTTTGTATCACTGTCTCAAATGCAGTGCCAAAAAGTCTGGAAGGTGGAACCAGGGCATCAAGATGGAAGCTTTCTCCTTCACCTTGAGCCCCGAAAGGTTAAGCCATAGATGCCTCTCCATGGCAACCATGGGAGCAATCAAGTGGCCCACGACACAGGCCACCTTCTCTGTAGCACAGAGGGAAAGGTCTGTCGCACGACAGAGCTCAAGGATTACATCTGTAAGGATAATTCCTTCCCCAGATGTAAGAGGTGTTAGTGAGGACTAGGGTTGGGTGTTATCCGATACTCTGTATTTTTTAAACGATTCCGGTGCTTAAACGGTTCTTGAAACGGTACTTAAGAAAACGAAATGGCACACACTTTGTCAAAAAATAATGCCCCTTTATTTACAGGGCCAAACTGGACAAAATATTAATTTATGTCTTTAAATACAAGTAATACGGCTGGGTATTGAGACAAATTTCACAATTTGATTTCGATTCAAAAGCTTGCAATTCGATTAGATTTCGATTACGAATCGATTCGATTCAATATCGATTATTTTGGATATCAGTTACAATAAATGGCCACTTTTCTCAAGGAAATCAAATCTCTTAACTAATGCTGTAAACTATGGGAGTCTAGTTATAGCCTATAGACTTCATTAGCCTAATATGAAGGTGATAATGAACTGTTTTGAAGCTATACAAACACTTAAATTACACTTTTATTTATTTTTATAATAAGATTATATGAAATATAAACATTTAAATGGTGGCTGTCATAAAAACTTACCATATTTTTCAATCAAATATTCATTACATATTGAAGAACATTAAGATTATAATGTAATATGGTGTATATATTTAGCAAAATGCTCCTCTCTAGAGTTATTTTTTCTAGCTGACTAACGAGTTTATGTGGGTTTTCTGAGGTAAATATGACGATACATGACATTGATGACAAGCTGTTTAACTGACGTCTTTCCACGGTTGAAACGCTGATTTAGCGAATCAATGTGATATGATACGAATTTAGATAAGTTGTACTCTATCTTTTAACACACTTTCAGAAGCTCATTCATGTTTATTTCGCGCTGTGACTGGTATTATTAAGCCGGAAGAGAGATCAGCGCTGCTGCTTCTCTTGAGCTGCGCCAGAGCGATCTCACGCCACAGCGCCAAAACGCTATTTATGTTTTTGAATTTCTAAAGAAAATGGACGTAATTTGAAAATTGAGACTTTGTTTCATATCAATAGTAACAAAGGACAAAGATTATTGCGATTTTTTTGGATGCGCGCAGCCGCGATACAATGTCCCATTCATTCAAATGAAACAGGATGACTAATCGATTCTTGAGATTTAAGAATCGATATCGGTTCGTAAAAATGAAAACCGATTAATATCAAGAAATCGATATTTATTACCCAGCCCTAACAAGTAACATATGGTAATAATAAATAAGCCAATAAAAAAAAAAAAATCACATTTACATAATGTCAAATAAAACAATATTGTATCAAACAATGTAATAATACTGGAGATTAATAGAGATTACTACCAGGGTAAACTAATATCAACATGGCTACAAGTTCCCATGTTTGTCTGCTTGAACCATTCATGTAAGTTATCTGGTCATTGTACTAGTTATGCAGCTCTTAGCTTGGCGAGTTTGGTATTTCGTTCCCACTGCGTCTTAGCTATGCAGCTTTGAGCAAACTTATGAAAGAGAACGTCTCTGGTTACTGGTGTAACCCATGTTCTCTGAATAGGGAACGAGACGCTGCGTTCGCTGCCAAACTCCTCGTGCTGCCGACAAGCTTCCTTTTTCTGCAGAGAAATCTGAGGAGCAGATGACGCGCATGCTAATATAATATGATGACGTGAGCGCCAAGGCGGCGCAAATCGTGATTCTATATGGGCTTCAGACAATCGTTCTGACGCCTAATTTTACACATAAAATGCAGACAAACCTTGGAGCGTTTTGTCTTTGGCATCTCCATTAATCCCCTCACTATCAGCAAACGTTCCCGGCCGCATATTGATAACGGCTCCCTGATGCCGGGAAATTAGTTAAAATCTCACAGAATCTAGAGCGAGCGAGACAGAACAGACTGTGCTTCAAACCATATAGTGCGCACACTATGGAGAGGGAGAGAGCGAGAGACTTATTTTTTCACAGTCAGGAATGACCAGATTGTTTTTCCTCAATAACAGGCCATGCGCAGGTTTCGTAAATGCTGCTATGGCCACCACGTAGACTTTGAGCATGGATAGGGACCTACCCTTATTCAGCAGCTCTTGAAGGAAGGAAAGCATTTTCGTTACCCATGTGGTTTGTGGGTGGAAAACCTGGGACTTTGCACCAGTTAACAAACACTGACCACTTTGAGGCATAGATGGCGCTCTGGCCTGCGTGATCGTGTTCAGCACTCCCTCGGGGAGGGTTGCGGGTATCCGTTGACCGTTGGGGACCGGTGAGGATGCCAAATTGAGCCCTTGGCCTGAGAGAGGAGGTCTTTCCTCATTGGAATTGGCCATGGGGCAGTGCTCGTCAGCTGCATTAGGACTGGGAACCAGGCGTGGTTTGTCCATAGCGGAGCCACAAGGAGCACTGAGCGTCCGTTTTCCCTGATTCATTCCAACACCTGAGGTAGGAGCGAGACTGGGGGGAAAAGCATAGAGTGGACAGCTGGGCCAGATGT